TATATTATATTATATATATATATTATTATATATATATTATATATATATATTATAATGTATATATATATATATATATTTACATATATATACATATATATTTATAAAAGAAATGTGTTTTGGTATTGGTGTTTATTATCGTGAAAATATTGTGAATACAAAGCTGCAAAAAGTGTTGTGTCAAAAGTATAATCATATTCGGAAACGTGTAGTGTTCAGTTGTTTAGAGAGCAGCTTTTCTCGTAGTTTATTTTTCCAATATCGACACAAAATAGATTCATCGGTTTGATTTCAGACATATTGATTGCTTTGTTCAGGAGAAAGAATTGTACCTTGGTTAGTTCAGGAGAAAGAATTGTACCTTGGTTGGTTCAGGAGAAAGAATTGTACCTTGGTTAGTTCTGGAAATAGGAATTGTACCGTGGACAGTACTGATTGAAAATTCAGTTCGCTGCTATAATTGTGCAATTTGAACAAAAAAATTGATTTAACGTCATCAGATTCAAAAAAACTGTTTGCAGGTTGGCTTGTTCTATTTGTAGTCTATGCTTTTCAGGAACAGTTTTATTCCATTGCATCGAACACGATTGCTTTCAATATAGGCTATGCCACGGCGTAATAAGGCTATCAAAAGAGAACAAAAGTAAATTCTGCCCAAAGTTTTGGTCAAGAAAAGTTTTCGCAATTATTGGGTAAAAATTGTGTACACGTGCGAACACATTTTATCTCTTGTATTGCCGATATTTTATGGGAGACAATGTCGATCTATCCTTTAATGGTCAGTACGGCCAGAGTGTTTGGAGTCACTTCGATATACGCGTGTCGCAAACAAAATCATGTGGTTGGCAAGGGAAAAAAAAATGAATATATGTGACATATTTGGCGATGTATAAAACTGCCTTTTTGGCACATGGACACAGTTCAACTATATGCGATAATGTAACCAAATCACCTGGCCCTCGACACGAATTCACGATCGAACACATCTTAGAAGTGCTGTCTGCTATTGAGGTAAGTGTACAAGCACGACATTACCCTATACTAATAAGATTTTAATACATAACGCATTCATACATATATACATTTATACATTTAATACATCGATACGTTATAAATTTCTCTACAGCCATACAGACTTTAACCAACTCATAAACGTCTTTTAACGTACATATACTATACCTGGGGTTACATGCTGTATTCCTTGCGATTGAGTACATCCACCTATACCCCCTCTAACGCAGGTTGTTCCATAGGCTGCCGTTCTTGTCCGTTGTGTAAATAAATCGTCTGCGTTGGTGTACAGAAGCATCGCTGTGCACACGACAGCAAAGAGATTGATTTGCCTGACTGGAGTAGACTTATACTATCAAACAGTCTGGAAACAGTTTTCGAATACATACCACATTTCTAATATCGGTTTAGGGTTTCGCGCAACTAGCATCCGCATTTAATGTTTAAGTTTTATAGTCTGCTCTTCATGTTCGGTACTTATCATACCACTTCATTATATATTGGCCAATTACGATGCAGCTATGTGGTCCATTGGAGCATTTCTAGTTAGAGTAGTAAAAGAGTTTTTATTTTCTAATATTTACTCTAAAAATTAGTTGGCAGAATGGAATGTATGTACAAAACTCAAAAGTTAAATGTACAATATGTAGTCAATAGGCAATAGTTGTGGACTTAAACCAATATAATAAATAGTAAATAAAAGTAAAAATACATAGACATTTACAAAAAGAAAAACTGTGGAAAATATAGAAACACCAGACTCAGTCTGTCTTTATATAAACGGACGAAGTCCGAGCCTAATATAGTATTAACAAAAATAGAAATAAAGTACTATTGATGCGGAGTAAATACATATTTTATCGACATTTTACATGTATCAATTAAATTGATTGGGCAAATCCGCATAGGTCAAGACCGAGGGCCTCGACCCTCGAGCCTCGAGGCCCGAGGCTGAGGGCTCATATAGTCCCGGAGTGCAGACACCCCAAGGCTCAGGACATAGCCACATAGGGAAGAGATTAGAGACCATAAGGGATTATTATTGAGGCGCCAGGAATATCAATGAGGGCTGAGGCCTGAACGGTTTCTGTCTCCACTCGCCAGATTTCAGATTTGAGTCTTTTGAGATTTGATGGACTCGCGTGTGGGTGTGTCCGATGGTACAGTAGCAATTTTTATCAGGTTCTCCCAAAACCCGAGTCTCAAGTGTCTTCACTCGTTTCCAATCCCCAATGGCAATTCTCCACCAAGATGTCCCTATGGGGCCCTGGACTCTGATGACTGGGACTCTGGAGTCTTGGACTCTGGGCCTCTGGTAGACTGCCGACTGGCCCCTGGGCCTCTCGGGAAAATCTGGTCTCGGAGGGAAGGATGATTTCATTTTCTACATACGTAGCCCTTTTTTTTAGGTCTAAGGACATTTCGCGACCTCAGAAAGTGATAAATATATACCAACCCAGTCGGATACCAGTTTCAAAAAGAAGAATCCTTATAAGGAAAAATTCAAACGGAGAAGGAAGTAGTGCTCAAACCAATAAAGCAATTCAAGTTTGCACAATGCAGCAGACCAATTCACCAGCAAGTTGAAATCTATTTGCACTAATACAGTATCTTGGCTATCTTTTCCATTGGATACCAGTTTTATAAAGAACAAACCTAATGAAGTAAAACTAAGAAGGAGCAAATACTCAAAACCTCTCATTACAATAAAGCAATTTATGCAGCGTATCAACAGTGACTAATAATTTACCGCTTCATGACTTTCTTCCCCACCACTACAACCAGCGCCACTGGTCAATAAAGGTACATTCAATGTTTTGTCCAAATCCTGATCCGTGCTATGTACGACTTTCAGAAAGGGCTGTAACTTACATAAACTAACTGGTACACATCATCAGATTGACGCTTTCATATTATAAACTAAAAGAAAATATCTACTACCTATGCAACCATCGCTGTGCTCGCAGCCACTGCTGCCGCCATGGGCCGTCGTCAGGAGGAATGCTGCGCCGGGGTCCAGGCCGAGGCATATCTCGGAACAGAGTGCTCAGGATTGGCTCTTCTCGATTTTACAACACCAGTCGACGGCAGCTGCTTTCAGTTCTATAAAAAAGGTTCGAAAGCTTACTACACCTCAGCTACATGTGAGGGAGGTATCTACACAGTTGACATCTGGGTCGATGACGCTGAGTGCACCCCAGGTGCCGGTGTCTACCCTCTTGAACAAGGCGCTGAGTGCACCTCTAACGAGGTTACCGACGGCATGAGTGCAGCCCTTGAACTCTCGTGCGTATAGACTCGTTTTAGGCAAATTTGTATTTGTACAAGATAGGCAACAGACGATATACGAATTATACTTTGCTGCGACTTTTTTTCGGTCCATTGACTATTTAAAAATTTATGTTTACCAATAGGTAGACTGATGTAGTTAAGCGTGAAGAAAAAAAGTATGCATCCAAATGTATGATGAATTCTTTAATATTGATACACTACAATTGATCGACAATGGGCTTATTTTTCATGTCGCTTCGCTCATGGCTGGCATGGGCAAAACGGTATACTCAACGGGTCACTGTACAGCTTTTCTGAATTTTCATTGTTGCGTCAAATACGATTGCTTTTATAAAAATACACCGAGCTGCAATGTAAACATATGTCATACCATGGCGTAGCACTGTAACAGGACTATCAAAATACAACTAAGGAATGTGCTTTGCCACAAGTGTGAGGTCAAGGAGAGTTCACGCTGATTATTGGGCAGAACAGCACGCGAAAACGATTTCACCTCTTACAGTAGTAATGATAAAGAGATAAGTCTGCAATGTGAGCATTCTCTCAAAGTTTGGTGTGGTACGAGGTGTTTTTCGACGATATAAATTAGTGTTTATACTTGGCACGTTCTTCGATGATATGAACCTGCTTTATATATATATATATATATATATATATATATATTATATGCATAAGACGTACTATTCGTACTATATACTATATC